ACAATTAAATGCCTACTATGGTGCCAGTCATTATGCTAAACTCTGGGAATACAAAGAGAGTTGAGGAAGAGGGTTGGAAACTAAGCCCCTTCCCTCAAGGAGATTATATTCTAATGGTGGAGACCTTGAATAAATAACTAGGGGCATGCAAGATAGAGACCGGGTAGATGGAGGTAATTTGAAGAGAAAGGCATTAGTACTGGTTGATTGATTGACTGATTGAATTAATAAAGCCATTCTGGGCTTTGTGTTGACTGCTTCCTTTTCTAGATGTTCACCAACCACCCCTCGACTAACATGTTCTGGAATTTTGCTAGGAACTTAGTCAAGCTCAGTGTCCAGCACTCCATTCTTTTCCCTTTATTGAAAAATAGGAAAACATTTGCCCTTCTTGAGTCCTGATTTACCTTTCCCCTTCTCCACAATTTCAAAGGGCATTGCCTTAGCGGTCACGTCGGCTAGCCCTGCCAGGACCCTAGGAGGCAGCTTGTCGGAGCCAGGTGACTTGAATCCCTGAAAGGCAGCCAGGAGCTCTCTTACTCTCTCCTTCCTTATCTTGAGCATTAGTTGTTTTTGTTCTGTCCTTTCCAGGACAAAGATTATTCTCCTTGAAGGAGCAAACAGAAACAAAGCAGCTCTCCTCTGCTCACAACCAATTCCTGCTGAAGAAAACCTTTTCTTGGAGCCTACCCTCTTTCCCAAGGTGGCTGAAAATCCCCTTTTTTCTTATCTTTAATTCCCTGTCAGCCTTCACTCTTAAGAGTGTTAATAACAGGGCAGCTAGGTGGTGTAATGGATAGCACACCGGCCCAAAGTCAGGAGGACCCGAGTTCAAATCCAGCCTCCGACTAAACACTTGACACTAGCTGTGTGACCCTGGGCAAGTCACTTAACCCCAATTGCCTAAAAAAGCAAAACAAGCAAAAAGAAAAAAAAAAGAGCGTTAACACCCCTGATGGTATTCTTACAGGAAATGTCTTTTCATTGTGTTGTGCTCATCCTCTATTACCTGCCCTTGCTCCCATCTTCTGTATGTATCTCTGAAGACTCTCAGTCAGGGAGTTCCCTGTGCATCTACATCAGTCTCTTTACCTCTCATTCTTCCTCATCACACGTGTTTCTCCTCCTATCTTCAGAGATTTCTTACCATAAGATCATAGATTTAGAGTTGAAAGGGACCTTTGAGGCCCCTGAGTCCAATCCTTTTATTTTACAAATGAGAAAATTCACTTGCTAAGGACTTGCTCAAGGTCACTCAGATAGCTGGTGGCAGGGCTGAGGCTTCAAACCCTGGACTTCTGAAGTTCATTCCTGCCCCTCCCGAGTTCATTTCCCCTATAGGATTTTAATTCATGGCTTTCTATCTATCCTTTCTTTTTTTCCCTCTCGTATCTGCTCTCTCCAAATCTGGAGTGTATATGAAACCATTCTCAACTACTTCTTGTCACAAATGTAGATGCATGGAGAACTTATCAGCACCCTTAGATTTTTAAATGAATTGGACAAAAGAAAGAAGCCATGGCAGCTCACCCAAGTGGTCTATTAAGTGTGAACTGGTGTCCTAAGGAGAGGTTGTCAGGAAAACGGAACCCAAAAGGGACTTTTAAAGAGCTATTTTGGGAGAACAAGGAGGGTCTAAGAAAGAAGAAGGTGGTGTCTATGGTGGTTGGCATGATAATAGTAGATGATATGGAGAGAAGACCCACCTGCTCAGCTCTTATTTCTGCTTTTGTTTTCTCTATCAAGGAGAATTACAAGGACAAAATAAGCGTGGCTAGTAGGGACTTGAAACCCCAGATAAGTAGGACATAACAAGCGAGCATATAGCTGCCCTTGACCCGGTTAAGACGTGAGAACTTGGCAAACTATATCCCTGGATATTGGGGGGAAAATGTGATGGGTTCAGACCCTGTCAGTGACCTTTGAAGTAATCAGTAAATATTTATTAAGTGCCTACTATACAAAGCCAAGCCCTGAGAATACAAACAAGAAAAAGGAAAGTCCCTGCCCCCAAGGAGCTTACCATCTAACAGGTGTGTGGGGTACAGAGACCCTTATCAATGAATCGGAGACTCAGAGATATTAGCAAAAAGAAAAATTCATTTATTAGCTTTCTCGTGAAAGGGCTCCCTCAGAACACCACAAAATTGGCGCTGACTGAAGAGAGCAGAGGTGTGTTCAGATCCACAGGTTATATAGGTCCTAGCACAATCCCCTTCCCCCCCTTCCTCAGGGCTCATTAATGCAAGCTCTGAGGGTACAATCTATTCGGGGCAATTCACCCCAGCAACAAAGAACAAGGACACTTTTTACAACTTGCCTGCAGACAAGAGGTTTTCTTTTTCTTTTTAGAGTAAATAGTTTTAGAGAGGGAGGAGGAGGTCTGATAAAGTTGAAAAGCATGTTTCTTTACCAGGTCAACCAGCTGCAAGTGTTTCAACAGAACAAGAAGCAATTAACTCCCTGAGGAGGCTTCACTCCTGAGAGATTCTCAGAGATCATCTCTCACACAGGGAAGATGAATGGCCAGAGGAAGTGGTAAAGGAGAAGGGGACCACAGGCCTGCTCTCACCGGCCTGGAGAAGGGTAGACTCTGTCCTGATTTCCAAGAAAGGGAAGAGGGGCATCTACAAAGCAGACTCTCCCTCCTGGTGATCTGTGGCTGGTCAGATTCCCAGCCTACCTCTGGCTCTTACTAGCTGTGTGGCCTTGGCCAAGCCCTTCACCTCCCTCGGTCCCCTCATCCATAAAATGAAGGCTTTGGACTGGAGGTCTCCGGCTCCCTACAAGGGTAGGGCTCCCAGAATTCTCCTGAGGGTAGCTGGCCCCCTCTCCTTTACCTGATCCAAGGATGGGCCGGCCTGCTTCCCTCTCTGCTGGCTCTGCCTGAAGCTTCTACCTGACTTCCCCCTCCCCTGCCCAGTAAGGACGAGATCCCAGCTCCCCAGTTTCTTCTCCCTAGCCCTCCTCCTTTTGCTGAAAACGGGCTAGGTGCTCTGACGCTCGTGAGGCTTTCAACAGCTGCAGGTAGAAGGGAGGGCTGGGGAGCTGGGAACCCAGGGCCAGGGTGGCGAGTTTCTAAGAGCCTCTGAGTTTGAACAATGCTATCTGCCACGGGCTCTGAAATCTCCAATGTTCCACAGCCACAGAGGCCCAATGCCTTCACTCTTGGGGTCCCCCCTGTCATTTGGGGGGGCTCTTCCTGCAGTCCTTCCCCTTTGTCTCTTTTACCCAAGGCGAAAGACAAAAGCCACAGGTAGGTATGAGGTTTTTTTGTTGTGAGAAATAAAATATCAGGGAATACCTGAATGTGTTCTCATATGAAGAGGTAAAGTGGACAGAATGCTGACTCAGCAGTCAGAGGACCTGGGTTCAAATCCTGCCTCTGATGACTTTTCACATCCTTGAAACTCAGTTTCCTCCAAGACTAAAACAAAAGGTTTAGACTAAGTGGCCCCCTAAGTCCTTTCAGACAGGCTTGGTCTGAACTCCTAGGAAGCAGCGAGATGCTCCCGGGGTCCTTCCCTCCACCGCCCCGCTGCTCCTTCCAGGTTCCTTTGGTTCAATATCTTCCCCTATGAGAGGATAAGCTCCTTGAGGGCAGGGACAATCTGGCTTTTTCTCTTTTGCACCCCTAGTGCTCAGTGCAGTGCCTGGCACAGAGTAATATGGCCATGGACCAGCCACTTTACTCGAGTCCCAGATTAATAAATTATTTAATTAATAAACCTTTAGTGAATTGAATTGAAATTGAATTTCCATCTCTAGCTCTATGAGCCTCTGAAGGTGACTTGGGGCATTTCATCCCTAGAGGTAGAGCAGAGGCTGTGGGTAGAGTTAAGAAATACCAGAGGAGTTTGAGAGATAATTGAGGGCCAAGTAAAGAGAAGGGGGTGGGGGGGGGAAGCCACAGGGTGGATCCATCCCCTTCCTCTACCCTTCTCCTCACTCCTGACCCACCACTGGAGGCCTGGCCTTGGACTGACCCGAAGTAGCCCCTGTGGGGAGATGAGAAACCAGAATCAGTGCCCTCCTCCCCCCAAGGACATTTGTAGGGTGGAGGGGACAGGGAAGAAGGTCCCAAGGGTGGCTTCAGCAGCAGAACCATAGACTCCTAGGTCCAGACCAATCCAGAGCAGTTGCAGTAGTCCAGCCAAGAAGGGATGAGCTTCGAGACTGGAGAAAGGGAGACAGGTTAAAGAGACAGAGACAGTGGAGATATAAACTAGAAACTATAAAGCTTGGTCATTGTTGGGGCAGGGAGGGGGAAGGGAATTAAGATCAAGGAGGACCAGGAGGGCCCCAAGGCTAGAATGAGGATTACTGGAAGGATGTGATCACCCTGGACAGAAAAAGGGAAGGTCCCAAGGGGGCCGAGTTGGGGAGTGGGGGAGGGAATGAAATCTAGAAGGGTGAATCGTTACTGGTGTTATGGAAGAAATCCTTCCCAAGGATCAGAACCATGTGTGCACAGAGGGGCTGCTGCCTGAGGCTGTTGGGGGTCTTTGAGAAGACACTGGATGGCCACTTGTCCAGCAGGATGTAGGAAGGAACTCTGGTTCATGAGATGGCCCCTGCGGCTGGCCCTGCTGGGATTTCAGAGGGTTTAAATTTAGTGTTATTTATGTATAAGAATCCCAGCAGCTCTCAGCGGGCCGGGGTCTTGGGCTATCTAGTCTAGCCTCTCCATGATTGTGAAGCGGCTTTGTGTCATGCCAGGCAAGTGAGTGGTCTTTCAGCCCCTGCCCCCATCCCGTTCTGCTTGTGAACAACTCTGATTGTGGGAAATTTTCCCTGGCATCAGGCCTGCCACTGTCTGCCTCTGTCCCTTCCAGCCTTCGCTCCTAGTTCTGGCCTCTGGGGACCAAGCTGAATGAGCAAGCTCCCCACTCAACAGCGCAGGTGACGGGGCAGGTGGGCCCTCTGACTAGCAGGATGGAGAATGTCTCTCTCTGAGCCCCCAGCCTCATCTTTGTCCTTTTTTGTCTCCCTCAAACCAGGCCATGTTCGAACTGGTCACTTCTGAAGCCTCCTACTACAAAAGCTTAAGCCTGCTGGTGTCTCACTTTATGGACAATGAGAGACTGAAGAAGATTCTCCATCCTTCAGAGTCCCACATCCTCTTCTCCAACGTCCTGGACGTCATGGCCGTGAGTGAGCGGTAAGAGACGGGCGTCCCCGCCAGTCTCCAGCCCACCACCTTGGCAGAATGATATCGCTTGTCAGTCATTCGCTCATTCAGCAAGCCTTGAGTAAGCACCTGCTGTGTGCGAGGTAGAGATGGTGAGGTGTTGTGAAGACAGGGCTGGCCTTGGAGTTAGGAAGACCTGGGCTGTATGGTCCTGAGTAAGTCTTAGCATCTCTACAACAGGGGTTCTTAATCTAGGCCCACAGACCCCAAAGGGTTCCTCCAGCAGACCGCCAGAACACAGAAACTGCACCCCAAAGTGAAGAAATCCCGGTTTAAGGAGATAAGTCCAGTCGTACCGACTCCCTCTTACGCAGCGTTTTCAGGTTTTGACAGCACTTTTCTCAGAACAGGCCTGTGTTTCTGAGGGAGATGCTATTAGTATGCCCATTTTACAGATGAGGAAACAGAGGTAAAGTAAATCACCCAGTGTCTGAGGGGGACAATAGTACACATTTATACAACTCGTTAAGATTTATTATGAATTAAGATGGAACTAGGTTTTGCGTGACTTCACGTGTAGTGGGGATCCTATTGCTTGCCTTCAATGAGTGGGAGAAGGGCTGGAGGGAGAATTTGGAACTCAAAATTTTTAAAGTGCATGTTAAAAGAAGAAAAAGAAATGCAGTTTTTTCATCTTGGCAAAAAAAATGAAAAATTTATTTTTCTTCATTTTTATCATTGAGAGGCCTGGGGAGTAATGGATAGAAAGCTGGCCTCTGAGTGAGGAAGGCCTGGGTTCAAAGCCCAGCTCTGAAGCATTCTGCCTGAGTGATCCTGGACCAGTCCCACTTCTCTGTGCACTAGACAACAGTCTTAAGAAATGCTCACCTGCATTGGTGGAGGGAGTTTCTCACTGGGAGTTCCCTGAGCCAATGAAATCACAGGGTCTGGTCCAGAAAAGACCTATAAAGTGCATCCTCTCCATAAATGGCCAAGGAGCTAGTGGTAAGAATTATCACCTCCATTTTACAGTTGAGGAAACTGAGTCCCAGGGACTTTAGATGACTTGCTCAAGGCTACCCAGGTGGCGAATGGCAGAGCTGGGGACCATGGAATCATGGGATTTCAAAGCTGGGGGCAAGTTGAGAGACCACGTACCTTATCCAACCCCCTTACCCAGCTAGAAGATCCCTCGGAAGTGGGCCTCTGGGCAATGGCTGTCAGCCCTCAGTGAGGTCCCCTCTGCCACAGTGTGCCCTGGGGAAGCCAGCCCACTACCCCAGCCCCGAGAAGCCCAGAAACGAGCTGGCTGACTTTGTTTTCATGTTTGTAGTTCTGATCCAAAGACCTCTACAACGTGTGTGGCATGATGCCTATACAGAAACACACACACAATGCCACTAGCACCACCATATTTAGATAGGTATCACCCAGATCTGTCTATCTATCTATATAAACTATAAAGCTTGTGTATGTGTGTGTGTATATGTGTGTGTATGTGTGTGTGCGTGTGTGTGTGTGTGTGTGTGTGTGTGTGTGTGTGTACACACACAGGAGAGGAAGCTAGAACACGAACAGAGTACCGTAAAGAGCAGGACGGAGCTGTTGGCAGGCTCATTAGGGTCACACGCGCACAGATTTAGAGATGGAGGGGACCTTAGAGCTCATCTATTCTAACACCGTCATTTTTACAGATGGGGAAACTGAGGCCTACAGAGGATAAGAGGCACAGGTCCTAGGATCATAGATTTAGGGTAGGAAGGGATCTTATAGGCCGTCTAGTCCAGTTTCTTTGTTTTTACAGATGAGGAAACTGAGATCCTGAGAAGTCCTAATATTTCAGATTTAGAATTGAAAGGGATCTTACAGGTCATCTAGTTTGACCCCTCATTTGTACAGATGGGGAAACTGAGGCCCCAGAGAGAGGAAGGCTACTTAGAACTGAAAAGGATCTTTGGGATCACCCAACCCCTCATTTTTACAGATGGGGAAATGGAGGCCCACAGGGGGGCAGTGACTTGCCCAAGGTTACACGGGTCGCAAATGCTGGAGCCAGAATTCAAAGCCATTCTTCTGACTCCAAATCCTGCAATTCCTCCACTGCGTCCCACTGCCTGTCCACCTTGGGTCTAATTATAATTCACACACATGCGCATTAAGGGAGGGCATCTTTTCGTCCATTGTCTTAGATACGAAATAGTATTTTCCTTCAGCGCAATCCTCTCTAATGCGCCTTCTGGCTTATCCTCACACTGTGGATTGTTTTAACTTTGTATTTTCCATTTTGCTGCATCTCGAGGGATGGGGGAAGGGAGATTGATGGGGGAAAGAACAGAAAAATCTATGATTAGCAACTTCATGGGGAGGAAAAATTACCTGTGATGCCACCGGGATTAATCACCAGGTAACGGAGGCTTCTTTCGCCCGCGGCCGTCCTTATTCCCAGCCTTTGCGATGTTTGCAGCCTTGACGGGATCTGTCAGCTGCCGTGGCTCGGGACGAGCAGTGCTCCCCTTCTCCGGGCTCCAGCAGCAAAAAGAGCAACTGGCATTCCACGTCGACACTACCTTTTCCATACATTCTCTCCCTTGATCGTTGCAACAACCTTGGCAGGTAGATGCTATTATTAGCTCCATTTTACAGATGAGGAAAATAAGGATCTGGAAGAAGTGAATCGAATCCAAGCTGCTCCTGGGAGCATTTCCCACCATTCCACATTGGACTCAAAGGATTGCCAAGAATTCCCAACCCTCTCTGAGCTGGCTCTCGGGTCTGAGGCCTGGGTTCAAACCCTGCCTCTGACACTTATGGGCAAGTCAGTTTCCCTCTAGGACCCTCCGTTTCTTCATCTAAAAAATGAAGGGGGGGAGCAGCTAGGTGGCGCAGTGGAAAGAGCGCTGGCCCTGAAGTCAGGAGGACCTGAGTTCAAATCCGGCCTCAGACCAAACACTTGACACTTACTAGCTGTGTGACCCTGGGCAAGTCACTTAACCCCAATTGCCTAAAAAAATTAAAAAAAAATGAAGGGGTCAGACTAGAAGAGATCGCATTGAGAGTTTTTGTTTCTGCATTTGATTCTTCTAAGAGCAGGGTAGGGGGAAGGAGCCGGTGGTAAGACGGGGCACCAGATTCCATGATGCATCCGATGGCTGGAGGGCCAGGACACATCATGGAGTGATACAGAGTTGAAACCCCAGCTCTGCTACGTAGGAGCCTTGTGGGCCTTGGTTTCCCCATCTGTTAAAAGAGGGAGGGGGCTAGATAGCCCCTGAGATACTCTCTGGGACCAGAGCTGTGATTCTATGATCCTATGATTCAATGAGATCACATTTGTAAAGTGCCTAGCACAGGGCACCCTCTCCTCCTGCATTACCTGCTTGTGGGATCCTGGGCAAGTCGTGTAACTTCTCTGGGCCTCAGTTTTCTCATCTGTAAAATGAGGCAGTTGATAGCTCTATGATTCCCCTCCAGCTCTTTCTATATGGTCCTATGCCCAGCTGTGTAACCTTGGGCAATTCACTTTACCTGTCTGAGCCTCAGTTTCCTTCTCTGTGAAATGAGAGCGTGGAATTTGATGGACCCTGAGGGTCCTCTCAGTTCTGGGACTGTGACCCCGTTGTAATATCAAGGAAGGGAAAACCCTCCTGGTCCTAACTGTGGGTTCTTGGTCGGTGATTTCAGGTTCCTGTTGGAGCTGGAGCAGCGCATGGAAGAGAACATTGTCATCTCTGACGTGTGTGACATCGTCTACCAGCACGCGGCCAGCCACTTCTCCGTCTACATCACCTACGTCTCCAACCAGACGTACCAGGAGAGAGCTTATAAGCAGCTTCTGTGAGTTCCGCCGTACGACTCGAGATGCCTTGTTTTGAAAGAAACTGTGTGCGTGTGTGTATGTGTGTGTGTTTGTGAGAAAGAGCCAGAGAAACACAGAGACAGAGAGAGGAGAAAGACAAAGACAGAGATAGACAGACAGATGGGCAGACCGGTGGTCATAGAGTGTTGCCCAAAGTGGGCGGACTTGGTGGTGGTTTTAAAGAAATCCTGCCCAGCCGAGGCTGAGCAGACCGGAGAGTGGAGCCAGGCCAGAAGGGATGTCATTGAAAGAACTGGGAATGATCAGCCAGGAGAAGAGAAGGCTGCCGGGGGCATGAGAGCTACCTCCAACATTCCTGTCGCCTCCCGTATCAAATACAAAACGCTGTTTGCCGTTCGCAGCCCTTCAGCACCCGGCCAGCTCCCACCTTTCTAGTTAGTCTGCTTACACTTTACTCCTACCACGCATTGTTCAATCCAGAGCCCCCGCCTCCCGCTGTTCCGGGAACAAGCCCCTCTCTGTCTTGGCTCCAGGTCTTCTCTCTGGCTGTCCCCTGCCTGGAATGCCTCCTTGGCTCTGACCACTGAGCTCCCTGGCTTCTAAGGCCTCACCCAAATCCCACCTCCTACAGGAAGCTCTCTCCATTCTAGCACCTTCCCCTGTGTTCATAATCTCCCAGATCCTGTCTAGAGCTCACTTTGCAGATGTGTGTTTGCCCATTGTGTCCCCTTTCCGATTGTGACCTCCTTGAGGGCAGGACTCTCTTTCGTCTTTGTTTCCCCAGCACTTAACACAGCGCTTGGCACATAGTAGGCACTTTATAAATGTTTGTCACTCGATTGATGAACTGAAGGGTTGATTGAAGGTGAATGAGGGGTTAATTTTGTTCTGCGTGGCCCCAGAGGGCAGAGTGGAGAGGAGCTGGGGGGGGGGGGGATTCCAGAGAAGCCTATTCTGACTCCATAAAAGCTGTCCTGGGGCTGCCTTGGCAGGCGGCGGGATTGCCATTAGAAGATGCTGCCTTTGTCACTGACCACCTGTGTGACCTCGCACAGGTCACTCATCCTCTCTGGGCCTTTTCCTCAACTATAACATGTGGGATTTGGGCCCCCTGGCTTCTAAGGCCTGCGAGCTTTCCCATTATGGCCTGGATGACCATTTGTTTGGGACGCTGTGGAGTGGATTCATTTCAGCGTTAGCATGGACCTCCCGAGAACTTGTCCTGGAGTCAGTCATTGCTGTTGAGTTTTTTCAGTCGTGTTCCACTCTCCGTGACCCCATTGGGAGTTTTCTTGGCAGAGACACTGGAGTGGTTTGCCATTGCCTTCTCCAGCTCATTTGACAGATGAGGAACTGAGGCAAACAGGGTAAAGTGACTTGCCCAGGGCCACACAGCTAGGAAGTGTCTGAGGCCAGATCTGAACTCAGGAAGAGAATCTTTCTGACTCCAAGCCCAGAGCTCTACCCACTGCACCGTCTAGCTGCTCCTCGAGTCAGAGATGAGCTGTCAAATTTCATCTCTGCCACTTATTACTTGTATGACTTTGGGCAAGTCATTTCCTTTCTCTGGGTCTCAGTTTCCTTATCAATGAAATGAGAGGGTTGGCCTCAAAGGCTTCTGAGATTCCTTCCTACTCTAGAACTGTAATCATAGCATGAAACATTGAGATAGAACATAGACTTATGACTAAGAAGTGGACAGCACCTTACAAGCCATGGGGTCCAACCTCCTCATTTACAGATAGGGAAACTGAGGCCCTGCAAGGTGAAGTGATTGGCCAGGGTCATGCAAATGGTAAGTGTCTGAGGCAGGATTTGAATTCAGGTCTTCCTGATTCCAAGCCCAGCACTCTTTCTGCCCAACAGGCAAATGGCATACAGGCCTGGAGGAGAGCAAGGACAGATCTGGGTGTCCTCTGAGATGGGGAGATTATTAGGATTATGATTTTTACTAGATCCTTAGTGGCGCCTGAGAAAGTGAAGATAGAGACAGAGAGAAGAGAGAGACAGAGACAGAGAGAGAGCAGAGAAAGAAAGAAGAAATAGAGAGACAGAGACAGAGACAGAGAGAGAAAGAAGAGACAGACAAAGAGACAGAGAGACAGAGACAGAGAGATAAGAGAGAGACAGGGAAAGAAACAGAGGCAGAGACAAAGAGAGACAGAGATCAGAGACAGAGATAGAAAGAAGAGGCAGAGATACAGACAGAGAGGTGGAGAGAGAGACACCTACAGGACACCCATGTTATGGGGGCAGATGAATGAGGCAGCCCTCCAAAGGAGACTGAGGAAAATCAGCTCTGGAGGCATGAGGAGAAGCAGGAGACCAAAGCCCAGGGAAGGAGAGCCCGCAGCAGAGGGTGGTCCGAGCACCCAAGGCCTTGGGAAGGTCCAAGATGATGAGGGCTGAGAACGGGAGGGGCCGAGGAGTCAATCCTTTCTGTCCCCTACTGCCCCTTCGGGCTGAAAGCATCCCTGCCAAGGCTCAGCCCTGGTGTCTCGGGAGAAATCGACCTCTGGAGGCTCCTCTCCCTGAAGCTGAGGGCCCCGGGCTAGGATTCTTGGCTGGAATGTGATGCCTACGGCCTTTGAAGTTAAAGAAGGGGAGGGTTTGAGGTCAGGAGCGCTGCTGGCCTGGCCGGACCCTCCAATCAGGCCAGAGAGCAGGAGAGGCGCCTTAGCGAGAACCAGAGGCCAGACAAGAACGTGGCTGGTTTCGGGCTAGAAGAGGCAGAAATAGACCTGACTGAGCCTCTGTCCACCTCCCAGACACTCCCGGTGGCCACCGCGAGGGTGTCCCCCACCCCCCGGCTGTGTCCTGGGCTTCCCCCATCGGGTCCTTTGGGGTGAAGCGGCCCTCCCTGGAATCGTCTGCTCCCTTCTGAGCCCCATGGAAGGGCCTTGTCCTGAAGCCCCGCCCGAGCCTGGAGCCTCCTCTCCAAACACTGAGACCTTTTTTTAAACACAGAAGCTCCTTCAGGGACTTTTCGACTGAGACATGGAGTAAATCTGTTGCAAGCACGTCCTGGCCTTTGAAAGTTAGAACTGATGGGAATCTGGACTTGTGGGCTTAAGCCCAGAGACGGTTCAATAACATCACACTACTAACCTGATCAATAACTATTGAAAATGAGACCGACGGGGCTGTCAGTACTTGGAACAAGAGTAGGATTAGAACCCGGCTCTGGGATTTCATCAGCCGGGCAAGGTCACTGCCTGGCCGGGGCAGCCTGTCACCTTCTCTCTTGTTTTTTTGTTTCTGTTTTTGCTTTGTGCTAGGCAATGGGGTTAAGTGACTTGCCCAGGGTCACACAGCTACTGAGTGTCAGGTATCTGAGGCCAGATTTGAACTCGGGTCCTCCTGACTCCAGGGCCAGTGCTCTATCCACTGCACCACCTAGCTGCCCCTGTCACCTTCTCTCCTACCTGTAGTCTGAGGTCACCGCTCCGAAGTGACCTGCCCAGGGTCACCCAGCCCAGCGGGGGGAGGGGCGCTTGCTCCCAGGGCCTCCTGGCTCCACGGCCAACTGTAGCCACAGCACTGTGCTGGAATCAGGGCAAGTAGGAGAAATGGCATGGCTGGATAGGGCCTTGGAAGATTTGGTCTAGCCCAGGCTTGAAACAGAGCCTCCTTCCAAGGCAGGGCAGGGGATTATGGACCTGCACCTGGAAGGAGCCTTGGGGCTCATCAAGTACCGCCCTTTGTTTGAAAGTTGAAGAATATCAGGTTCAGAGAGAAGAGACTCACTCAGGGTCACACAGCTAGGAGTCAGTGAGTCAGTCAACAAGCGTTTATGAAGCACCGGCTGTGTGCCAAGCACTGGGGACAGAAGGAAAGGCAAAGGACAGCTCCTGCCCTCAAGGAGCTTACGGTCTACCATGGAGAGAGGATGCGAACAAATAGGTACCCACAAGGTCTACTCAGGTATATTGGAAATGCCCAACAGAGGAGGCTGGGGCTGAAAAGCATCTGGGGAAGGCTTCCTGCAGAATAGGACCTGAGTTGGGACTTCAAGGCGGCCAGGGAGGTCAGTGGTCAGAGCAGAGGGGGCAGTGCATTCCAGGCCTGTGACACAGCTAGAGAGAATGCCTGGAGTAGGGAGATGGGAGTGTCGTGTGTGTGCGTGCATGTGTGTGTGCACACGCACGTGTGTGTATGTGTGTGCATCTGTGTGCACGTGTGTGTGTGTGCACGTGCATGTGTGTGACAGCCAGGATGATGGGGGAATCCTGGGGGTGAGGTGTAAGAAGTCTGGGGGGGACAGAGAAATCAGGAAGGGCTTGGAACACCAACCAGAGGATCATTTATATTTGATCCTGGGAGCAAGAGGGCGCCACTAGAAGCTGTTGTTTAGGGTGGGAGGGGTGAGGTAGTGGGGACTGGGCTTTAGGAAGATCCCTTTGGTGGTTAAATGGGGGGTGGGCTGGAGGGGGAAGGACTGGAGGCAGGAGTCCTCCAAGGGTGGGAGGTGATGGGGGAGCCCTGCTGGAGGAGAGGAGGGGGTGATGTATGTGAAGGATGTCTCAGGGGAGATCAACAGGCATTGGCCCCATATTGGATGTGAGGAGTGAGACAGTAAAGTATTGTGAAGGTCAGAGATGGTATATACCAGAAATTAGACTTGAACCCAGGTGTTTCTGACTGCAGGTAGAGCACTGTAGCCATCCCATCATGCTGTCAGCATGTGGTTGCTCAGCCTTTGCTTGAATACCTTCAAAGATGGTGAGCTCACTACCTCTCAAGGCAGCCCATCCCTCTTTGAGACAGCTCTAATTGTTAAGAAGTATGTCCTTACTTTGAGTCTTCATCTGCCTCCCTATAACATCCACACATTACTCCTGGTTCTACCCAATTCCTTTCCCACACAATGATCCTTCAAATGCTTGAAATTATATCCCGTTTTGACTTTTTCTTTTCCTCTTCTGTCGACTGACCCTTACGTGGCCTGGTCTTGAGGCCCTTCACCATCCTGGGTGCCCTCCTACCCTTTGGACAGACTCTGGCTTGCCTACTGTGAGACATGAACACAACACACCAGAGGGATCTGGCCAGGGCCAGGCAAAGCGGGATGACTGGCTCCTCCTTCCTGGATGCTTGCCACCTCTTCATGCTGCCTAAGATAGTGTCTGATTTCTTTGCTACTATATCATGCTTATATTGAACTTGCAGGCCCCTAAGACCCCCAGCTCTTTTTCATGAACAAAATACACAACTGATATAAAGGCTAGTCCATACATTGACAGTAGCTTGGAATAAACAGCCTGGAGCTTGTGTCACTTTAGAAAAATGTATAACTGGTTAGTCATTTTTTTTTAATTACATGCCAAAACTTCCACCTAAACTGAAAAAATGCTGGGAGAATCTGGGCTCAGTTCGTGGAATCCCTGTGTGACCTTGGACAACTCACTTACCTGCTCTGGGCCTCAGTTTCCTCATCTGTCAATTGAAGGAAGTAGAGGAGGTCAATCCATCAATCAACATTTATAAAGCTCCTACTATGTGCCAGGCACTGGGGACCTTTAGGGCAGGGGTCCATCACCTTGTTTGGTTGGGTCCAGGACCCCCTTGACAGTCAGAAGGGTTTCTCAGAATTCTGGTTTTTTGCAGCACAAAATAAAAAATGAGAGATTACAAAAGTAACCAGTTATATTGAAACACAGTCTATTGAAACTCAGTATCAAAATATTTATGAAAAGAAAGGTCAAGCACCCCAGGTTCAGACCCCCTGAGGTCCCAGGCCTCAATCTACGGTGCTGTGAAATGTAGTTAGGGAAGTAAATCTTTTGGAGGGAGAGAAGGAAGAGTTGGTCTAAATCTGCTCTGGCAGGTAGCTCCCTTCAGCTCTCAGCGCAGCCTGCATGCCTTTAGGAATAAGCCAACCCTTCCCCACCTCCCGCCCCATTATGTTCATTCATTGGTTTCATGTTGGCCTTTAGTCATCCCAGGAAGAGCCCCACCCCTGAGCTGCCGCCTGGCAGGACTTGCCAAGTACCTCGGATGTCCACACACTGGCCTCCGTGGCTGCCCCCTCCAAGGACCAGATGTGGTGCCCCTCCCCCTGGCAGAAGCAGCTAGGGCTCTCTTAGTCATTCTGGCCTTAGTCACTGCCCTGTTCCCAGGACTGTGGCCCGGCCTCACCTCGCTGCAGTGATCCTGCCCTGCCAGCTGTCTAATTAAGCCTCTGACTCATGGCCTTGGGCTCACGCCCGATTCTCAGCCACCCACACACGCAACACATGCTGCTGAAATCTATACGTGTTCACATGTGAATGCACTTCAGGGACATGTACATTGAAAACTATTTTCCATTCCTCTCTCTGAAGACCCATCTCCATTTTAGTGGGAACGCATTTGGGGACTTGTCCATGAGGATGAGAGCTCTCCGCTCCTGTTTCCAAAGGGCGAGATGAATGTTCTGTCTTGGGGTGGGTGAGGAGAGCAGCAGTACAGTCAGATCTGCTGCACCTGCCGGTCTCCAGGGCAACCACAGCTACAGGCTCGTCCTCTGTTCATCCCCAGGCAGGAGAAGGCCGCGTTCCGGGAGGTGATCTCCCAGCTGGAGCTGGACCCCAAGTGCAAAGGCCTGCCTTTCTCCTCCTTCCTGATTCTGCCATTTCAAAGGATCACGCGGTTGAAGTTACTGGTACAGGTAACTACCTGGCCCGCCCTCTCCCCCTCTAACTCCGTTTCCCCTTGCCGGGGGTATTGTTCTCTGGAATACACTTCAGGCAGCTCTTAGCTTCTGCATAAATCTATGTCCTAGGACTGAGACCATAGCTCCGGAGGGACCTCAGGGACCACATAATCCAGGCCCAGCAAAGTTCAGTGGCTTCCCCCGGGTCGCATGGGTGGTAAGCCTCAAAGGTGGTGTTTGAGGCTGGGCTTTCTGACTTCACTCCAGCACCTTGTTCCCTTTCTTAACTGACAGAGGACCATGGATTGAGATCCAAGGAAGGGACCACAGAGTTCAACTGGTCCAACCCCTCGATTTCACAATTAGGAAGTTCAAGTTACTAAGTTCTGGTCAAAGTGAATCAGCTTAGAAGTTGGGGCAGAGATTGTGAGGTGGTGCTGCTTTTGAATGGGTGAATGAATGAATGAATGAATGGAGCATTTATTAAGCACTTCTTATGTGCTAAGCACAGGGAATTGAATAGAAAAGTAGCCCAATCTCAAAGACCTCTCCTAATTCTTCTGAAATCTCAGGATCTGGGTTCAAATCCCAGAACTGCTACTTACAACTTTTGTGACCTCTGGAAAGTCACTTCCTCTTTGTGGGTCTCAGTTTCCTTATCTGTAAAATGCAGGGATTGGACCAATTGTGCTCAGAGGTCCCTTCTAGGCCCACACCTCTCAATGATACCATGAATGAAAGAGACTGTGCTTAGGAATCCAGCAGGTGGTCCCGATGAGCTGGCACGTAGGAGGAGTAGATAATTAACAGGTTTAGGCTGATGGGGGGGAATTGGGAGTCAAAGATGAAAAATTGGAGAGGGATGAAGGGTGCCGGCCAAGGATGGGGGTGGGGCTGGGCCTCAGGAAATGGAAGGCACCCATCAGCAAAACTGTGATTAACGTGTTTGTCTCCTTTTCTTAGAAAAGTGCGCGGCGAACGAGACAATTCCACAGTAGAAAACACTCTCTCTGTGTACCCAAAATAAACAATTAGCTTCTCTCAAGAGAACGGCTTAGAGCTGGAAATTCTAAAAGAGAGAGCGTTCTTACTCCTCTTCCCTCCCTCCCTCATCTGCTCCCTTCCTTCTCTCCCTTCTCCCTTTTCCCTCTCT